TATAGTAAAGTTCTTATACCAGTCTATGGTGAGACTGCACTTGGAATACTCATTCCTCAATTAGAATATTGCAGAGTTGGAAAAGGTACAAATAAAGGTGACCAAACTGGTTAGAGAACAGCTCCCCTACTAGGGAATAGTATAGCTTGTGAGGTTTTGAGAACAAAGACAAGTCAGGAAAGACATGCTAGAGATATATAAAATGACTCAAGATGTGGTAAAGATGGATTAGGAAAAAATCCCATCCTTTCTTACAGAATTAGAGTTTGTGATCATCCATTCAAACTAAATTCAGAACTGATAAAAGGAAGTAAATCTGTAAATAACACACACACACACACACACAGCTTATTTAGATGGTTTTAAAAGGGGACTGGCTAAATTTGTGGAGGATCAGGCTATCAATGGCTACTAGCTTTGATGGCTGTATAGTACACAGTATTGAATCACAGGCAGTATACCCTGAATATTGGCTGCTGAGGACTAAAAGCAGAAGAAGGTTTCTACTTTCCTCCTTGCTGTATTTGTGTGCTTCCAGAAATGAAGTGATTCCAGTCAGGGATGCAGAAAAATTGACTCTTCTTACATTCTTATCATATATTATCTCGGCCCTGAAATGAGGGCATAATAGAGAATTGGGAAATAGAGAGCAGCAGGAATAGCTATTAAGAATGGCTGTTCATCCCTCCTGAATGCTGGAATTAATTTTCACTTGAAAAACAGCATCTGAACATCGAGAAAAGCCAAAAAGACAACCTTCAAACCATAGAGCAGTGTTTCTCAACCTCAGCAGCTTTAAGATGTGTGGACTTCAACTCCCAGAATTCCCCATCCAGCATGCTGGTTGGAGAATTCTGGGAGTTGAAGTCCATACATCTTAAAGTTGCTGAGGTTGAGAAACACCACCATACAGGAAAAGTGTGTGGTCCTTAAAGAAAATGTGCAAACCTAGCTCCCCTGTAATTTTAGGCAAATGACATGCTCTTTTTATTGCCTTAAAATATAAGATGATACCAAGGTGGTCAGCTACAAAAGATAAGAAAACTGAGTCCTCATTTGCCTCTACTTCCCTTACCTCACATAATACTATAACAAAAACAAAACAAAAACCTGAAATTATAGTAATCCACCATACAAGATTTAACATTTTGCTGCAAAATTATGATCATGACATAAATCAGTAGTTGTGACAGCCTTGCACAAAGACGGTGGGTTTACAATTCCTGAAATTCCCAACTAGCATAGCCACTGATCTTGCTGGCTCAAGGAATTCTGGGAGTTATAATTCCAAAATATCTGGCAGTTGCCTAGTTGAAAAAGGCTCAACGATCTTGACTTTTAAGGGAGGACAAGTCCAGCAGATGCATGCTACAAAGCAGAAGCCCTTATAATTCCGCCGAGGTGAGCCTCCACAGCTAGCTTTCAGAAACTAAATGTTTGCCAAAGGCAGTTCAACTCCTATGTCTCAAAGCTAAACCAATTATAGAAGAAAATGAAATGAACAAAGAATAAGTAGCAGCTTACCGGAAGAAGTGATTGTTTCCCCACAAAATTCTATCACCGTGGTGTAGTTGTGTGGGACCTACAACAGCCGTACCATTCACAAATGTCCTGTGTTGGAGGAAAAAAAGTAAATATAGTCATTCCCACATCAAGGAGTTGGCTTGCCCTTAACTCCACATGGCAATGATTAAGGAAAACATAATGTGAGAGAGACTTGTGTTGATTCCTCTCCTCTGAGCCAGGGCAGCAAAGCAGAGACATTGCATAGCAAAGTAAATTGAAGACAACCCAATGCATCCGAATACTTCCTTTTCCCTTTTACAAGAAAGATATATCAATGTTCCTACAACTGGAGAAGGAAAGTCTTTTGGTAGAATCTTCTTCTTTCTACCTGAAAGAGGCAGTAGTCTTTTCCAGTCCTGTTTGTCCCTTTCTGATAACTGTCCCATCTGCTGTTTAAAAACCATCCCAAATAATCCACTTTTGCACCCACCAGAAATATGCCACCAGGGAACAGAGTATGAGAATTTAGGAGAGGCAGCAGCAGCTGGCCTGAGCAATTTCCTGTGCCACCTTGCTCTCCATTGCCCAAAACTGCAGCTCAGTCCTAGGTATGTTGCTTGTTTCAGGACTTTTCGTCAATGCAGCAGGGGGCAGGGATGTTCACTGAGTTTCTCCCTCTCCCTTTACTGAATACATAAACATTCTGAGCCAAGGAAGCCCACAGTTTTGGCACTACTATCTATTCAAATTACGGGCATGCATTTACTCTACTGGAAAAGTATTGGAATGAAAAACAAAACCAAGCAATAGAGGGAAATGTGGGTCCTTTGATTTAACTAAAGGTTCCAAGATCCAACTGTGGAATTTCTTCCATACTTCATTTAATCCTGAAGTAAGAGCAAAACTGCTTGTCTCTATAAGACGTAATACCCAGTTACCTAGTATTCTTCTGAGGTGTCAACATGACTTGTCCATCCACAGTGATATCTATTATACAGTGTTCAGGAAGAATCCCCAATCCACAGAGCTGTATATCTTGGGAATTATCAGATCCAATGAGTGTGTGCTCCTGCAAAAGATTTGAGATCAGGTCCACTGAAATCCAACAGAAAATCGTATTACTTACTACATATGAAACTGACCCTTCTCACTTCATCTCGTGCAGCTTTCCCAAAGTGCTCCAGCAAACTGCACTGTGTAAAACTATGATTGGTTTCACAGCATAATAAAGCAAAACTAAACAAGCACTCGGCCATTATCCCTTACACTTACTGTATAAAAGCCACAACACAGAAAAAATGAACTATGAGGAGGGAGTGGAGGGAAAAAGCAAGCTCAGCCTCCAGTCCTCAGAGTTACAATTATTATCCAATCACCTGGAATGGAAATAATTTAGGAATGAACTTTCTTTGCATTTACTATAACACAGTGCATCCACTTTCATACATTCTTTAACAATAGCAAAAGAGGGAAAGTATGATGGAAGGAAACAAATGGGAGGAAAAGAAGAAAAAAAGAAAGAAATCAAACTTCTCATTGAAATAGCTTTGCTTTCTCCCTCCCTTGTATTCTTTTTAAATTGGGGCACAATTCTGATGAAGAACAATGTATCCAGATAAACAATAATCTGAGAAGATGCTGGCTGTACTGCAATGGAAATTGTACTGCCCTTGCCATTAAACCTACTAAAGTTACTCATATCCACCTATCTATCTAGCACACCTGTCTACATGCAACCTGCTGAATGATGAAAGGAAAAGAAGCAAGCTTCATTTGTTTCTTAAAATTCTGTAACCTTAATGTTGTTTTAATTCCTCAAAGCAGCTTACATCAAAACAAATAAAAATCATAGTAAAAACTCAATTACGTTTAATAACATTCATCATAAATCCTCAGAATAGGAAAGCTGTGGCACAATAAGCCTGGGAACCTGGGTCCTCCAGAATTGCTAAGCTACAGTTTACAGCATCCCTTACCTCTGGGCTTGATCAACAACAACTACCTCCCTACTTCTGAATTAGAGCATCTGACTGAAGGTGAATCAGTTGGAAATGCCTTCCTCAGATCAGAAAGGGGACACTTGGTTGCCTGAATGCTAATAGCCAAGATATCAAGTGAATCTCTTTTTGTTTTGTGGCTGCAGGGAGGCATCATTCAGAAGTAGTCATGAATCAAAGGGATCCCTTTCTGGATGCTACCTGCCTCATTTCTGAAAGCAGAGAACACAACGATGGTCCCACTGAAGACCATAACAGAAATGCAGAATTGTAAGAGAGGGAAGCAGAGTAGGGGCAGGGAACTCAAGGCCCTCCAGATGCAGCCCAGCAGCACCCTGGTTGAATGTTGAATGACAATGCTTACTAACACTGTTGGGAATGATAACTTTCCATGGGTTTGGGCTTCATAGCCATTTCTATTTCTTTATAGTTTGGCACCTGGAACAGATTCTTCCCACAGCCAATCTGGCATGTGGATCTTTATAAACGTGAACTACACATCTGAATTGAAAGAAGCAGGGGAAGTGCATACTTCTCAAGGGTGTGCTTCTCAGAGGCTATGAACCATGCTAATCATGGTAAAAAGCAAAAGAAACAGGTGATATGAAGCTATCCTCTCAATTGTCTCTCTAGAAATGCAAGAACTAGAAGTAGATTTGATTATTGTTGAAAAGATATATTTCATTATAAAGTAAGATACTAACACTGAGTTCTGTGCTCAACTGATTAGTGCACCAAGCTATTTCTCTAAATCCATTTAAACAAGGCTTATTCAGACAGTAAGATCTCATCTATTCTTCTCAAAAAAGAGGCAAAGTTTCAACAAAATGCAAATGACAGCAGATAAGACCAGGAGAGCTTTCATGATGTTGTAGTGAACATGGGGGCAAATTTTATAAATTTGATCAGCACTGGTAACTCTAGCATATTTGTGCACAGCTTCATAAAGAAATGATTATTCTAGGCTCCTCAAATTATAAAGAAGTCCTTTCTGAACTTACTACAAAAGGAGCTGAAATGACTGCACTCATTTCCTTCCTCCTCCCCCCACTTTCTGAATTCTAAGATACCAGTATTAGGGCACTAAGATGAAATCTTATCATTTTGCAAATAACCAAGGTCACCCTCTGAATGTATTTTGTTGCCAAGACATTCTTTGAAGGCCTTCATGCTGAGTGGAAAAGAAACAGATATGGCACCAGTAACTAGTCGGGAGGGGGGAGTGCCAGCTGACAAAGCCAGACACCTACACTGACTTGAAATTCTCTGAAGCTATTCAAAATCAGCTCTTTTGTTGCTCCAAGGGAACAGTGATGACTAAAGACTTCCCCAACCCCCATCCTTACATTCCTCAGGGTGCTAGCCCACTTCATTATAAACAAGATTACCAGTTCTCCTTAAAGAGGCAGCATTTAAAATAATTTCACTGGCCTGTATAAGTTTAGAAGCAGCTTTCAAATATCTGAAACAATATTATGGGAAAGAGAGCCATTCATTGCATAACTCCCAGAAAAGTCTGCAATAGGTGTACTGTAATGTTGGTTTGCTTTAAACTGCAGCCTGTCCATTCAGGAGCCAGCCTCATGATGCTGCATTCCCCACCCGATGCCTCTGTTTTTTGCATTATGACTCGGCATTATACATGCAGTGATGCAAGCCATGATTGTGCAAATCAAGTTCCCTCATAATCATGGCTTGCAACCAGCTAGAAAGTGAGAACTGGGAAATCTCTGTTTCAATTCCATAGCAGCTAGGAAACAGGGCTGTTCCAACCTCCAAGGGGAGCAATAATAATGGCCTACTGGATAAAGCCACTGAGAAGCACTGTAGGGTGTTTTGAGCGCTAAACATGGAAGTATACATTTTCTCCAAGCAGACTATACTCACAGTTGAAGACAGCATGCAAAATATATTTATGGGGGAATTTGATTTGCAACTGCACACATCAAATCATAATGGATACAAATTTTATGTTTTTCAGAATATAAAAAGAACTACATGTATCCTAGTGTCTGTTGAAAATAGTTCAAAATTAACAATAAAATCTTGTGCCTGAGTACACTGGCACTGCACAAATAGCTTTATATTCAGAAGAGCTCAGTCTCAAAGAAATAAAGTGTCACAAAATCTGCTTTTGCCCAAGAAATCTGTTTTGATCCATAAGAAAAAATATTAAATCCAGAGTGGATTTTGAAATGTTTTCTATGTGACTCTTTTTTAAAGCCAGTGGATCTTACAGGAGGGTTCATGAACAAAATTTGTAGGAGCATCTCACATTCAAGCAATTTTGAAACAACCTCCTGTATCTTCCTAGTATCTCACCTTTAAATAGTAGACCAAAAGTTCATTGAGTGCAGGGTCAGCGTTCAAATTCACCAGAAAGCACTTGTTATCACCCACTTTGATCCCAGATGATTGAAGAGAGATGCCAAGACTTTCAAGTTGCTTCTGCCGTTCCTATTTGAGAAGAACACAATTACCATTAGAAAAACAACTTGAATAATATATTCTCCCACATTGTGTGGTTATTCTTCACCCTGGACATAACAGAGAAAGAGGACAAAAGGACAGATGTAGCCAATGATTGGCTACTGTAGCCCTACCCATCTCTTTGAGTGGCTATAGCCATAGCTGCTCTCTTAGCCCCCAGGTTTCATTTTGAATAGGATGGACAACCTGTAACCCTAGGCCCATGCTTAGGCCCTAACCCTCTTTTCACAGATCCAAAATCCCAGAAATTATACTACCAAACCGACTGAAAGAGAGAGGAATGAGTTCCCAACATTTAGGCATAACATGTCAAATAATTATAGACTACATCTCCAATGTAGAAAAGGAAAGACCCTGAAACCACTGCCCTGCCCAATTCAATGACATGGCAACGTTATTGTCCCACAACTGCATCCTTTGGCTGTGCACATATAGCCCACCCCACCCCTCCAAGGGGAAAAAAAAATATTGCTGATCTGATTTGGAATTTACCCATATGAAACACCACTACCAGGAAAATCTGGGACAACAGCAGCCACTGTCAAAAAAGGAAATGCGTAGGTGGAATGTTAATCCAGAGAAGAGGAGGAGGAAAGAAGAAGATATTCAACCCTCTTGTGGAATTTAGTCTCAAGGGTCACTAACTGAGAAACCAGGGCCTTGGGTATATAAGCCAAAGAGATATGCAGAAATGTAAATAATCATATTTCTCCAACCTGCTTTCCGAAACCAAGGAAAAAGTTGAGACGTGCCTTTCTTTTTATAATGCCTATGAAGTCATACTGAAAACGTACAAATCCCTCTGTTTCCTTTACTTGTGACACTGAAAGCATGACCAAAAGGCCCAACATCCAGAATGAGATAAGCACATGGAGGACATCTATTTATTTCTGGTACTGGCTTGCCATTACCAGTAAAGTCATAACTGGTATTTTCGTTTTGGAGTAGTTGGGTCCAAAGTTGATTCAAGTGCTTCTTGTCAAAGATATTTGTTCTGAATCTGATCCAATCATTCCACCAGCTGAGCAGCTGTAACTAGCCTTGTTCAATAATCTGGTGGGAGCATTGTGGACCAGATTGCTCCCACCAGAGTTCCCCAGTTGTCTAATGCTTTCCTGGGCCAGCCCAAGCAGAACATGTTGCAGTAGTACAAATAGAATGTGATGAGACACATGTATCTGCAAGATATATACTAGTTTTAGCTGCAGAGAGGCCTTTCTGGGCACTGAAACCACCCAATGTACAATTTAAATTCGCACAAAAGGGCCATCCCATCCCAAATATATTGCACTGCTATCTTCCTTTCAAGGGATCAGAAGGACCTTCATCTTCTCTAGATTAAGCTTCAAAGTATTTGTTCTCATCCAGTTTATTGCAACATGAAAACCGATTTAGAAAAATGGTTCCCACCAGGGACCACTGGTAGTTATAGGGTGTAGCTTTATACACATACACAACATCAACTGTTCTGCAGAATTCTGGTGCAATAAACAAACATAAAATGGCCCAAATTGCAGGAGAGTGCTCAATTTCACAAGTGTTTGGCTTTCTTGACAAATCTGTGCAAGGTTTCAAGTGGGAACACCAACATTTCCTAAGATCTTATGAAGTATTTTTCATTCCTTTGGCCTTTTGATTTTTTATTTGATTTTTGGGTCCCATGGAAGCCATCTGAGGGAGTACTTAAAGCAGGGATGGCAATCTATATCCCTTAAATACCTTTTTCACACCTCCCCCAGAACCATTTCCATGTTTTCAGTAAAATAAAATTAATATAAAGAACCACCTCTTTCTCCTCCACATCACCACAGCCCCCACTACGTCCCTCAACCTTCACAAAAATCATTATGTGTTCACCTCTCCTTTAAACTATCAGTAAATCCATCACTGCTTTTGCAACAACAATAATCTCTCTTTGAATTGACCATCCTAGGAATTAAGAAAGAACTCATTCATAGGGTCATAAATTGTGCCACTTACCCACAATTATCATGAGCTTTCATGAAGGGATTGTTTAAACCAGTGTTGTCCAAACTTGGCCACTTTAAGATGAGTGGACTTCAACTCCCAGAATTCCCCAGCCAGCCACAACACTGGTTTAAATGGTGACAGTATTGATTGTTATGTGCTAGCAAACCTCAGTACAAAAATGCAGACCTGTGCAATCTCCTCCGTCTTCCTGAGCTTCTCCTCCCAGGTTACTGTCATCTCCTGGATAAGTTTTTCAGACTCTTCCAAACGTTCCTTCAGTTCTGGAGATTTCATAGCCTAGAAGATTAGGGGTGAGTGGGGAGTGGAGGTGAGAAAGGAAAAGCAGAATGTGGGATTCTCCTTGGAAAGGCTACCAAGTTAACGTTCCACGTACTCCTCATTAACTTATCATTGTGATCTATCTGACTGGAAAGTATCTACCCTGAATAATACATGCAGGAAACCATTGTTCATGCTGAGTGAAATACTGGGAGAGGACACCTGCATATGGGTGGAAAAAAAAGTCTTAACTTCCAGCTCAGCATTTTATTCCAATGCTGATGAGAGGAAATCCATGTATAACAATTGCATTATTATTAAATTTCACTGACCAGCATTTGGTGCAATTATTATAAAAGGTTACAAGGTTTAAATTAAAGCATAGAGTTTTCTAAAATCAACAGATGTAAATGAAATAATTCATTTATAATGCCATAAATGCAGATAAGAAAATACTAAATATTAAAACTAATTAATGGGATTATAAAGCTATTTTGTGAATAAAAAACTAAAATGCTTACTTTATACTAAATACTAAACTACTAAGCAAGTATGTACGAAGCATGCAGGTATGTGCCTGTAGATATATGTATATAAATCTTGTTAGGATTGGTGACTGGTCAAATATAACAGAAGACTAAAATCATAAAACAACATGGAAGAGGGGAAAAAAGTATATTAGTAGAATCCTAAAAGTTAAAGGAGTAGTTTCCTGCGTAAAGTGATGTCAGCTGAAATAAATTTTGTAATTCTAGAGATGTTAGGGTTCCTGTCCAATAGAAAGAAGGAAATGAAGATGTCCTCAGAACTAGTGAGAGTACTGTTAGTGAACAGAGTTATAAAGTTAAAGTGCAAGTTACCATAGAAAGGACATCTAAGAAATATGTGGGCTAGAGTTTCAGGTTCCTCCAAATCATTTGCAGACGTCTGCTCTGCAAAACAGGTATTACAATACCTTGGCTCCAAAACTGCAGAGGGCAATACATTAAAGTGGGCTAAGGAAAAAACTCTGCAGTGCATTGGGCAGGTAAGATTGAATAGATAACCCACTGGCATGAAAGCTTTCCTATTTATATGTTACCAAATTCACCCTGCTCTACAAGGAGAGCTTTATTAAACACCCACTGACAGATTGAAGCTCTAGCTCTTGGTAAGCCCATGGCTGGGTGGGCTGTAGTTGACGTAAATCATGCTGGATTCTTGTTTTCCACGAAGAGGAAAGTTTATCAAGAAGGATCATGGCAGCCAGGGAGTTACTAGAAAAGTTTGAGTCAAAAATAAAGCCAGCATACACAGCTACAAACCTGTTCATTCTCACAATGTCAGCAGAGCCCAAGACCTGAGTTTCAGATTACTACTTATATTGCAGTATATATGAAACCACAGCACATCTATTCTTTTCTCTTGACCCACCACAGTTCTGCAGAGTTTGGGGGTAATCTATTCCTCCATTGTCAGGAATTCTTGCTTCATCCTGCATCTAATCCATTAGTAGAAATTCTAGCCTCATGTTTGACTGCTGTGTTTCTTTTTTTTTAGGAACTAGTGAATGGAAACTGGTAGCATGGAACCAAATGCTACCTTCTCCAACCTAACGAACTCTAGATACGTTCAGTTTCTGCAAGTTGCATTCAGGCTGACTAGTGATTCTGGGAGTCTTCAGCTTGTGCAAAACCATCTACAATGAGTAAAAAAGATCCTCTGGTGCCTCCTCCTCTTTGTGGTGCTGGGCACAACCAAACTCTCTGCAATTCTCTTTGGCAATCTTCTCAGGACTTGCCCTGGAATACTTTTGGAGTCTTCAAACTCCCCTCAGCCTAACAGTCTTTCACTAGTGTAACACTGTCTCTCAAGCTCACTGGTCAACATTGTTATTTACTAAACCATAGATCTTTAACAGCCAACATTGTCTAGATCCATCTTAGATTGCCAGCCATTACCTTCCTCCATCAGAGTTCTCTTTTCCAAAGTTCTGTTTTTCAAGACTCCACCATCCTTTGCCAGCTGAGCAGCCCATATTTTCTCTCTCCTATAAGAAAATCTTCCTATGGAAGACTAAGCTAACTCCTCCTTTCATCTTCTGCTTATTAGCTCACTAGAATAAAGTGTTTGAATGTCTGGGTTGCCTTCATGATGGACTCAGAGAGAAGTATAGCTTCTTGTGGCTGACACGGACCTACACAAAAATAAAATATGTTCCAATATCTTACTTCCATAATGCCAGGCATTTGTTTCTGGTAAGTCTATCTGCAAAGATTATATAACAAATGGGAATATGAGTATGCCTCTGAATTTTGGAGATCGTATTTAGTTTGTGTGGAATATATGACTTACCTACCTACATGATCTACCTCTGCTTCCAGCAGAACTGGAGGGAAGGGGGAGATAACTCTTTGCACAGAGATTCAGAGTTGGCTGCTTGAGGAGAATTACTGAACTACTGATCTGTGTGATGGGAGAAGTAGTTCTGCCATTCTCTTGGTGAATAGGCATAGTAGGATCAGAGGAAGGTTTGAGAGAGACATATAGGCAATCTATAACTTTGCCCTGGCAGCAAACTTACCATTGGATCCTCTCTTTGCAATCTGCACAATCTAAAAAACTAGCAAACTCAATATGCTGGAAGCTACATTATTCCAAGTCAGATTACATTCTTTGCAAAATGTGTTGGAATTTGCCTTAGGGTTGGAGGAGAGGGACAGAATCTACTGACTGATTAAATGAATTACTCCTACTGTTGCCTTTGGTGCAACATCTGAGGTAATTCTAAACGGCAAGACTTACCTCTGCTTTGGTAAGCTGTTCCCTGAGTTTTTCTACCTCCTCCCTCAGCTCTCGGATGATTCGGGCATTGGGATCTTCATTGACCACAGCATGGTTCACAATGTTCTTGGCCCGGTCCGCGTACCTCAGGGTAGAAAGTGTCTCATCATAATTATCTGCTGCTGGACTGACAGTAGCAACCATAGCAGTCTTACTGTTGCCACCAAGGCTGTCCTGGGAATGTGAAATCAGGAATAAGAATTTGAGGAGTTTTGATTGATTGCTTGATTTAAAGAATTTATAAGGCCACCCCTCTCCAAGGTTAACAAGAAATAATCTGTCCATGACAAGGAACTGATGGTTTCATCCTCCAATTCCACATGACCACTGCTCCAGGACATATCGAATGTGTGACTCCCACTGTGAGTTGGGTAATCAATATCCTGGATCAGGTCCATGTCTGCCATGGTGGCCATAATGTAAGAGGGACTTCCAAGCTGCTTCAGATTCCAAGCCCAAAGAAGGCAGCTTAAAGTCTCCCAGAACCAGAAGCCTGAAGAACTCCACCACTAACTCAACCATAGCACTGAGGAACTTAGGGAGGGAAGCAGTTATGCAGCGGGGAGTCTGGTAACAATAGCAGCAATCCCATCTTATTCCTAAAGCCCAACTTTACAAGCAAGGGCTCACATCTGGTTATCTGTGGGACAGTGCCCCTAGTAACCATCAGCTTTTTTTGGATGACAATAGCTGGACCTGAGATTATGGTTGTTACCACACCCAGAACCCAGGAGGGCACATTTCTGCAAGAAAAACACATTCCTCCAGGCCTAACCACGTTTTGGTAATTTCTCCTTCAATATTGTCAGCCCCCTTATACAGCAATGGATGAGGCTACCTTTATTACAGACCAATTCTGATGGCCAATGTACTGATTCCTTGAAGTCAGTACATATTTCTTGGTTTGATTTTACAGCCTACATTAAAACAACCAAAGACATTATTTCTACTTGAGAAGCTATTGTTTACATTAGGCTTATCCAACGTAGGCCCTCCAGTGTTCCCCCTTATAACAGAAGGGGAACTTTCTTACATTACAAGGTATTTTTTCCCTTGCAGCGTAACAAGAACCTTGTTAGGTCATTCCATCTTGTCTAATATCCTTTCCCCAAGAGTGGTTAACCAGCTCCCTTTTGGAAACCCACAAGCAAGATGTAGAGACAACAACCTTCTTACTATTGTTTCCTGCTAATTGGTACTGAGAATCACGTTGCCTCCAATTTTAGGGGTGATGTATAACCACTGAGACCAGGAGCCACTAATAACTTTATCCTTAATGAAATTGTCCAATCCTTTGTTAAAACATTTTACTGATAGCTTTCAATACAAACAGAGATGATTGTCCTCAATATCATATACTAGTGACCAAAGGGAAGAATGTTTGTCTACATTGGCCTGAACAGTGGTATCTTCTCTAGGAAGCAGTGATTCTTTCAGAAAGTGAGTTGGGAATCTTTTGCTTTTTCAGATGTTCTGAATTAAAAATCCTATAAACTTCAGCCAGACAGTTTAGCCAATCTGGTCAAACACTCTTGGAGTTACTAGGTTGCTCTAGGTCAGGATGCACAACTTCTTCTAGGGTAAGAATCACATTTGGATTTCAGTTGGTACACCAGGGCCATACTCCAAAATGTTATCACTGGAACCAGGAAAAAATAAATAAATTTGTTGAGTTTTTAATAATTTCTGTCACATTCAAAATTACAAAATGATAACCTCTGGAGAGCTACTGGGGACTACACCAATGGCTTTGGCACTTTTGGGGGAGTGCATGTCACCCTAGAACTTCAGATTGGCATGTCTACTCTAAGTTCTTAGGCAGGGAAAGGTTTTTCTTGCTACTTAATTTTTTTCACCAGAGATTATGCTTTGAGCAAAGCAGATGCCAAACCACCTACCTCTGATCCCTCTGACCAGAAAATATCTGTTGATGATATTCTGGGGAATGAAAGGTACTGTAGCCTAAACTACATGCAGACAATAGGTGAGATGTATATACTTTAAGTTAGCCTAACACAACCAGGCACCCTACACAACCTGTCTCTCTTAGATTACAGTTCCAGTCAGACAGCATTCCTAGTGCCTATGATTGCTAGGGAAGATGGGATTATAATCCAAGACATCTAGAAGTCATTAGGTTGTATAAAGTTGGTTTAAGTTGTCTACAAAATGTAGGCCATGCACTGCTGTTGGGTGTCATTCACAGATCTTTTTGCAACACTCCTAATTATTGTGGTGAATTTATGTTTTCATAACCCTAGTTAAAAATCAGATATAATGTCTTGCATGTTTGCTTTAGATGTGGGAAACTCAGCTTTAAACCTGTGGCAAGTAACCATTAACTTTTCCCTGCCTAAGAGGATGGAGATAAATGAAGATAGCCCCATTATAACGCATAACTTTCTAAGCTATAGGAGAAAAGGCTAGATACTGATCAAAGTGCTTACATCTGCAGCAGTAGCAATAATATACAGCACACTCCAAACATATAAAGCCCTTCAAAGGCATTGTCTTAGCCAACCTTCCAAATACCTGAAAGACATATTAGTTTTCATCAGCGGATTATGGGGAAAGGTAAGTGCTAAGGCAGAGAAAGCACTGATTGGGTCAAGCAACAATCAAATCCTCTGTGCTACAGGAAGTACATACTTTATGTGCAAAAGAGAACTGTTTCTCTTAAGTATATGGCACTGACAGCTGCTGCTAAACAGGTAAACAAAGGACAGAGAACCTGCACACATCTCTAAATGAGTAACAAATGCTTTGACCATGAATGCTTAAAATGGCCTGGACCCAGAATATACTAAGGCAGCCCTTAACAGCCTAGCATCCTCTAGATCTTTGGAATTACTGCTCTCTGAATTCCCAGCCAGCCTGGCCAATCATTCATCCACACTTCTGCTTCTCAGTTGGTTGAAGTTAGTCTGAGCAAAATGCTGCTGCTTTGGTTTAGAGCAACGCTTCAACACAAAAAAAGGTACCATTCGGCTCTGATGTCTTCAATCAAAAAGGCTAAGATGGGTCACTGTTTTAAAAGCATGCTTGTTATTAGCTTTTAGCATTAAATGTTTAATGTTAACTAAGCTTAAAGTACACAAATTACTACTAAAAGAATAGTAGTATCGTTCAAACCTTTTCACAAGCATTTTACCCATCTTGATATGTAGGAATAAGATGCCTTCATAATTTACCTATGGCTGAGCTTGTGAGTACTAGAAACTTCCCCACAACAAGGCTTAGCTGATGACTAGTTTTACTGTGGACAGAAGCTTCCTTGAAGGTACATTGCGGGTACAAATTCTAAATGAAAGAGGGAGGAAGGAAGGAAGGAAGGAAGGAAGGAAGGAAGGAAGGAGCTGTAGAACCAAGGGAGAAATGTAATTCCTAGGCTCTACCACCGAAGGTTGCCTGCAATGTCTCTTAAATAGAGATAAAGAGTCAACACAAATTAGACTTTTAAAGCAGATACAGAAGTGAATAACTCTGCAAGATGATTAAATCAAACAACCATGCACTGGCATAGAAACCCTGGCAGAAAGCAAAAGAAATAATAGCTTTTTCCCCCTCCTGCCCTAAAACTACTGCCAGGATACAAAGAAATAACTCATCCTATTTGTTTAGATTTCAAATGTTATGAAATCCCCGCCAGCTCTGAGTCCAGATTGGGTTCTTTCCCTGTTCCATCACAGTGCTGCTTTAGCCAAGCCCAGGAACTCCACATTCCAAGCCTTCTATTCAGCACAGGGGCAACAGTTGTGCAAAAACATGACTGAAACCTCCAAGCACTGGAGCACAGGTTTCAATGCTTCTTTTCTCTGAAACCATAACACACTCACTCAACAACTAGACTTGGCTGCAGTGTGATGTAGAGTCTTAGATAGATTAGACCTATTCTCAACTATGCCAGTTTCTGCTGCAAAAAGATGATCAGGATGTCTCCCTCCCACCATTTGCATGTCCACGAAAGTCTTGCATCTCCTTATAAAATTAAATCTTTATGCATTTGATTTCTAAGGTCAAACATCAGCTATAGGGTAGTTTGGAACAGGCCAAAAAGAAAGGAGAAAGAAAAGGCAGATCACTGAATGAGTGCCTGAAGCAATTACCTCTGCCGCTCATGACTCAGTCTGCATGACATAAAGGCATGGAATGCAGCAACCTTGCTTAAGTGAAACCAGTTTAAGTCTTCTTAATGTCTTTATTTATACAAGACTTCTCATAATATTGTTAACTGCCTCCAATGAAGCAAGTTTCAAACCTTACTGAAAATAAAACCGAGTTTCATTTATCTCACATTGTGTATAGGCAGTTTATTTAGCTCTGACATTCGTACAA